AGAAAGAAGGAAAAGGTCAAAATGGATGTCAGAGGAGACTTTGAAACTTGCTCTCCAGTGTAGAGATGCTAAAGCAAATAGAAGAAATGAGGCAGTATAAGAGCTGATCAGTTTGAGAAGACAAAGTCAAATATTACAACAAAATGTGCAAATATCTTGAGTCAGAAAACCAAAAACAAAGAACACGCTCAGCACTTCTCAAGCTGGGGGAACTGAAGAAAAAAGTCAAGCCTCGACTTTCGTAATTGAAGGATTCTCTGGGCAAATTACTGAATGATGCAGAAAGCATCAAGAGAAGATGGAAGGAATACACAGAGTCACTGTACCAAAAGGAAATGGTTCATGTTGAACCATTTCAAGAGGCTGCATAAGATCAAGAGCCAATGATACTGAAGGAAGAAGTCGCCTGAGCTATAGTCAGCAGAGAACTGTGCACACACTCGAATTCTCTATCACACTCATCGGGAGCAGGTGGTAAGTTCCTGAAAATGCTCCAACATATAACCATCAGTTAAATACAAATACAACACCACAGTGACTCAGAAACAACAATTTCAGTTCACACAAAGAAACAAGGCAGAGTGGCACAAACAAGTGACCAAACAGAGAGCAAAAAAATCTTTCTGAGCAAGAAATGCATTAGAACTACCTGATAAGCAAAATTCAAAAGAATACTTTCAGCAGTAGAAAAATTGAGAAAGTTGCAGAGAAACCAAGGAAAACCCAGAAATTAACTTTAGAAAAACTAAGGAAAATGCTACAAGAACTGACTAAATAAGTGAAAACTTAGAAACTGTACAAAAACAGCAACAAGAAGTCCAGAAGATTAAGATTTCAGAAATAGATACTACATTGAAAGGTCAAATGAATTGATCTGAATCAATAAAAGGCCAAGTTAGTGACTTTGAAGACAAACCTCAGATACTAATCTGCTAGAGGAACCATTAAAAAACAACAACAAATAAACAAGCAAAAAAAGCAAGAAGAAAGACTTACAGTTAAGTGGAATATCAACAAAGAGAATAATTTACATGTGACTGGAATTCCAGAAAAGGGGGTGGGGTGGGGTGGTGGCAGAATAAATAGTCTAAGAGTTGTTGGAAGAAACAAAGATGGTATTTTGAAGGACTGAGGTGTGCCTGACCCCAAGCTGAGATAGTGGTTGCCAACAGAATATGGCAACACTGAATGGTTTAAAATTAAGAAAGGTATGCAACAGGGTTGTATTCTTTCACCATACTTATTCAACCTGTATGCTGAGCAAATAATCCGAGAAGCTGGGTTATATAAAAATGCAGCATCAGGATTAGAGAAGACTCAACAACCTTGCAGATGATACAACCTTGCCTGTTAGAAAAGAAAAGCGGAGGGAAGAAGCTAATGAGAAGACATTACAAGAAAATATAAAGTTTCAATGAACAAATCATTGGTTGAAAATTGATGAACAGAACAAAAACTTGCCCAGAAGGAAATTCCAGGATCCATACATTATACAGAGAGCAACCAAACAACCAAGAAGGGATGAATGGATTATTCTAAAAACCGAGTTGGAGAAACTATTTTTAAAAACATTTAATTTTTTGGCTTTGACCAAAACCTTTAAAAAAAGTCCCAATGAGTACAGCTCAAGGTTATAAAATGTTTTTTTAAAAAGTAATTAAAAGACCTAGAGCAATACATAGAGGAAAATTATCTCTGGCTATCAAAGGAGTCCAGGTGTGATGCTATAGGGTAAGGAGTGGACCGCAAGGTTGGTCTGAGGGATATCACTGTTGATGTCAGCTGGATCTTGGCTGAAAGCAGAGAATACCCGAAAGATGTTTACCTGTGCTTTA